AATATCGTTTTTATCTATTTGCAAGTTTCTTTAAATTTGTGTTTAATACTACTACTACTACTACTAATAATAATAATAATAGCAATGATGATGATGATATGATGATGATGATGATGACGATAGTAATAATTGATAATATTAATAGCAATAAAAAGTGAAGAAAATTGTGCTAAATGCGAAGAAATTTGTGATTTGTTAATTAATTAAATTTGATTTTGGAACTGAACGGATACAATAAATGTGGCTGGGCGGATGTAGGGGTTGTGAGTGGTGAAGGTGGGGGGGGGGCAGGTGCAGACGGACTTTTTACTTTGTTGATCATAATTATTATAGTATATATAGTTAAAGCTTAGTAAGCTATAGTTAGGCTTAAGTTGTCCTGGATATGTAGATCCCTGATAAAAGATCATGAGAAATTTGTTGGCGTTTCATTTTGACTACCGTATAATGGTGATGTGATGATGATGAATTTTACTATATAAAAGTGTCATTTCCGGCCATCTCGAAAGGTACTATTTCCTAAAATTTTCTCACCTCAGCCCCAGCCATGGTGGGGCTGAGGTGGTTGTGAAATCACCCCAGCCATGGTGGGGCTGAGGTGGTTGTGAAATCACATTTTGAAATAGGCCTATGTAAAGTACATACTCAAAGACAATGTTTTTAAGCTTTGTTTTCTATGGTATATCACACACACATTAATAAGATCTCTAGGGTTGTCAAAAATCCCTGATAAAAGATAATGAGAATTTTTTTTTTTTTGGCGCTTCATTTTGACTAATGGTGATGTGATGATGATAAATTTTGCTAAAAGTGTCATTTCTGGCCATCTAGAGGTAATATTTCCTCAAATTTTCTCACCTCAGCTCCAACCATGGTGGTTGTTATTAATTAATAATTAATTACTGTACGTTTCTCTTAAAAATATATATTTGTGACATGACTTATATAGGCCGTTAGTCCGAAATGGATGACATTTTCTATTTTTTTTACACCATGTGCACTGATTGGGCGCGAAACGCCCATGCTGCTCCATCGTTGCCCCACACCCACCCAGCGGTGGTTGCTATTTCTTGAGTCCTAACTACATGTTTAACCGTTTTCACTAAACACATAATTTGTTTTCAGCTGAAAATTTCGGAATAATGAACGCTGATTCTATTTTTAGGCCTACTATATCATATTATTATTATTATTATTTATTTTCTAACTACTGTAATTTATCATTCTATATTTAATAGATTGGAAGGGAAACATTTCATATGTCTCGCACCACATTAACATTAATAAATCATCTTGAACGCAAGGAGCTTATGACAATGTATAGATCGCCTATTTGATATGATACGTCAGACCCAGAGTATAAACACTTTTATTATCAAACTAAAATAGAACCGCCAGTATTATCTACTACTCTACGCTACAAGAATTGTATGTTGTTCAAATTCATTATCTTGCAGAGTCATTTTGACTTTATGGCCTCGGAGTCAAAAGATGTAAAGTTGTTTTTTTTTATGTTCAGTAATTGTCTCATGTACCCACGAACGGAGTACATAATGTTTATATAAATCTCGGTGATTGTTATGAGCATTGTATGCCCACAGTATACCACTACTACCCATGTGAGCGTTTAAATACATTGTACTCTGTCGTCATCATCGTAACCAATGTAGGCCCTATTATTATTATTATTATTATTATTATTATTATTATTATTATTATTATTATTATTATTATTACCATTATTTATTATTACCATTATATATTATAATTATTAATAATAAATTATTCATATTTTATTGTAATTTATTATTATTATTACTTATGATTATTTATTATTATTAGTTATTATAATAAACCTAATATTGGAAGAAATATTAGGTATATTAATTGTTCCTCCTGTGGATCCCTATTCTCTGCATATGTTTACTATGTTATGTTGGTGTGGAAAAAATAAATACATTAATATTATTACTGTTTTTATCCTCATTTTCATATTCATTTTTATAGCCACATCCTAGACACCCGGGCCTCAATATGAATGAATAGGCCCTAATAAAACACTGCACGCACTCGTTCACGCACAATAATTCCGATAGCTTTGAACTTGCTGTAAACAGCAATATTTAAAACTTGGTAAATCTGTGTTATACAAAGGCTTACGATAACTAAAGAAATATTTTAGGCCGACAAGGCATTATACCGTACTTTATCGCGAACAGGTTATTGTTGATAAAGTTTAACGTATCTTGAAATAGGCCTATTCATGTTCAACAATGCATGATGGAGTTTGGTAAAATATAACGAGAAGGCTTATAATCTCATGCATACTTCTAGATCGTTAGGTTGTATTCCACATTTGTATTATTTTCTTTTTAACTTAGACAAAAATTTGGTTTACAAAATTTCTGTTCGAATTGATTCAGTCACGCACAGCTATAGTTATAGACAGCAAAAAAAATAAATAAAAGAAACAAAATAAACCTTGTGAAGTAGCCTATGTGTTATTATAAAAGGTTGTACATAAAATAATGCTTTGTGCCGCTGAGAAAATGAGTTATATGCAGGCATAAACGATATCTTAAAATTCTATCAAAGTACTTCGACCCTATTCAACAAAAATCTGACATTTGAAAGGTTACCGTAGATTGTAGTATAAAAATAAATAGTATGAAAAGGAAACGAGGGAGGGACCTACTGTCCGATTTAAAATAAATAAATAAATAAAATTTGATTTTGGAACTGAGCGGATACAATAAATGCGGCTGGGTGGATGTAGGGGTTGGGAGTGGTGAGTGGGGAGGGGGAGGCAGGTGCAGACGGTGCAATCGCACCCCCTAAATCAGCGTTCTGCAAACCGTTTACTTCACGGCCTATTTACGATTTCAGGCACCTAGGCGTGGACCAGTATTCTAGCCACGCCAGGGGCCAACATGCCAAAACCTGGAAGAAGTTTTGATCACGAAGCCTCCATGTATGTAAATTTTAACAATATTATCTGTTCTACTTTCATGCACAGTGCGTCACTACAGGAGGCGATCGCTTCACGAAAAAAATCTCCCTATTTTTTGGTTTTCAAACTTGGGATCTCTGCACAATGCCATCTCAGATGGTGTATATTTATATATATTGCATAATACTCATCATTTGAACAATAATATATAAACAATAATATATAAGCCATGACATGTCTTTTAAATTGCCTACATTAAAGGACATACATTTTATATACATGTTATTAAACAATTTACACTAATGTTTTCATGCATAGTTTAGGGATGCTACGGTCCAATATCTTTGGTCCTGGATGACGTCATCAAAAGTGTGTGATGATAGTTCAACCTTTGACCTTATGGGACATCAATGACATGCCGCAAAACGCTGTTTTAACATCGTCAATGCAAAGTCCGTGAAACTTTGTGTAGTCAAAACATTTCCTCTTTCATGGATGGCGCACTGGCGGCGCAATCCATGGACCTTTTGAAGTGAAATAAATTTATGAAAACGAATATTTTAAGAAATTAAGAGATATATATAAAATAATCTTGATTCAGATAAAACTATTTTAAGACTGATATTTAATGATTCTGCTCTGCATATAATGTTCCTGTTATTAATGCTAATCTAGCAAACAGATTTAACATGTATATTTATAAGAATACATCATTTCCAATTACTTGTTTTTATTTATAATAAACCATTTTTTTTATTGATGTACATTATTATGTATTTTTCAAATACATAATTGTTTTAATACTTAGGACGTCGTCTTCATCCAAGCGCAGGTCAAATATAAGTTACATCAATGAATCAGGGGCGGATTTAGGGAGGTAAAAAAAAGAAAAAAAAGGGAAAAAAGAGAAAAAGAAAAAAATGATAGCCCAGAATGCCTCAAATGTTATGTTCGGGCGTCTAGAACACAAAACTTTCGCGGGGGCATGCCCCGGACCCCCTACGACAGTGTTGTCTCAATCGGCCCAACTTTCGCCCCCACTTCCGGCCCCCCTTTTGGACATTTCTAGATCCGCCCCTGAATGAATTAAATGAATATTAAGGAGTTAATTATTGTAGTGAGGTTAATATAATTATTTTAATTGCTGATTTAAAAATAAACAAAGCATTCGCCTGTGCAGGGAGTTCTTACCAGCCTTGGAACAAACCAAAATTTAAGATTAATTTTTTTGGACCGTTCAGTTTTGACTTTTGGGAGGGTTTAGGTTTTCTAAGATGGTAATTGGAAGGAGGCTTTAGGAAGGAGGTGGTGTAGTCTATGGGAAGTTTTCTTGGGATTCTGGAAGTAATCCCTACACAGTCGAGTGCGCCGCTTAGACAAAACAGGAATATTGCACATGGTCATGGAACTGCGGTATAGTCTGGTCATTTTACTGATGCACCGGGGAAAAAATTGTTAACGAAGCTTTTTTGGTATCAATCAATGCGCATGGGTGTCTTAACCTTGCAAAATATTCTCTTCATTCCTCTTTGGGGGAAAAAGTTATAGTAATTTTAGTTAAAGCCCTCCACATTTTCAGTTAAACTTCAATAAATTCTCATAGATTTGATAATATTCTGGACCTACACAATTTGTAGGCTGTCGTAACCAGGAATCTATATCAGGTATCTAGGAGACACAGGAGGCACCTGCATGCCTATTGTGAGATTCCGGGAGAGGTACGATGGGGAGGGGTACGATGAGGAGGGGAGTAGGAAATAGTCTCAGTGGTTAAAGCATTTTTAGCATGTAAATAGCAAAGTTCATCATGTTAATAGTATTTAATGCAAGCTAGTTTGGTTAATAAGAGAGTTTACTCAAAAGGGAAGAAAGGGATTCGCATCGTCGGAGAGAAAAAATCTTTAAAATTGATTAAATAAGCCCTAACTGAGGGAGTTTCCATGTGTTTCGCTCTTTAGACTCACCTCTGAGTAGTGCTTGTCCGTTCTTGTTATATAAGCATACAATTTTGTTATCTTGGTAGCTCAAGCAAGTAAAGGGCGACGACAGGTTATCTTAGTTAATCTTTATGTATATACTATAAATATGCTTACAAGACATTCTGATAGACCTACTCGTTTTTCTTGGATTCTGCAGATTTCTAGTAAACAACCTAGCACACCTCCTACTCTGCCACTCACCTCAGCATTGAATCTGGTCGGTTATTTGAGTAATTTCTATCTATTTCGGTTATTTTATGTACAGTATTGTTATAATGTTGATTACTTACACTAATTTCATTCATATTGAATATAAATAAAAGTAATAGGCATAGATTTATATAGCTGTATACCAAATCTTACGATATTGTATGATATGTCGTAATGTTTAAATTAAAGGCTGCCTACCCAATTAAAAAATTGATTAGCTTATTTAAAACAATCGAAATCTTATTAACAGGAAAAAAATCCTTAAGTTACATAGTATGCGTTTTTATTATTATAATCCTGTGACAGCAATGTAAATAACTTCGTGGCTATTGTTACACCAGTCGTAAATCAATTTCTGTAGGCAATTATTTTTATGTCTATGTGTCATAACATAAAAGAAATTCATTGGTAATTCATCCTCAAGACTATGATAATTTATTAAGTTTGGAAATGCAAACCTGTCATAAGTTAAAGATATTGCGGTTTTTTTTATAGGAAATATTTCTTGTTTTTAACTTCTCACTTTTGTCCATCTCTTAGTTCACTTTAAAGGTATCCAATGCTTCAGCTTCAGCTCTCATACCGTTGTCTATAAGTTTCTTAACGAATGCTTCCTTAACTTTTGGGTCGTCAGTAAGTATACCACTCTTTTCCAGTTCAAGTATTAAACACCACTGATCCTTTGATTTGGGTTCGTTGGGGCGATACAAGTCCTCTATGTGTGCTATGTTTTTTCTGTCTATAACCTTGCCAAATTCGAGCAAATTTCGTCGATGAACTGAAAAGCTGGTGATTTCAATTTTTTTAAATCCAGCAAATGTCGGTATCGATTTTCTGATCACTTCTTCTACGCCACTAAGGTCACCCAAATCAACGACTTCAAAAATGACACCAACATTTGATTTGCTGATAAGTCCGCTACCTATAAGTAGTCGAAAAAGAGAATATGGCTGGCTTTGCTCCTCCATCTGTGCTACAGGAATTACCTTAAATTCGCTAAGTATCACTTTCAACATATTCAAGTTTCCATGTCGTTCCCACCATGAGGACACGTCTTTGAGCAGTTGATTGAAATCCAACTCAGACAGTTCTTTAAAAGAAGTTATTAGAGAGAACATTTATATTTAACTTGAATTAAAATACATTTATCAATTGCCGCAATTATAGACTTCAGACATCTCATTAAAAATATTGAATACTTGGCCCGCTTACAGAAGATGTTTGAATTTAAAAAAAATAAAGTGTACTGTCAATTATTTTAATGATACTAAAAAAAAAAAAAAAATTAAAGCAACCAAAAAAAAAAAAAAAAAAAAAAAAAACCATGAACAGTTAATATAGGCCTTTTTGTTGGTAGTGTTTTTGCTTTACCAACCATAGAGGTACTGTATCAGACTAACCTGGACACTGGTACGCCTCTTGAATAAGCTAAAATGCTGTGGATGTTGAAGGTGTACCTAAAACCGATTATGTGCCTGGAATATCTATATATTGGTGGCACAATCTACGCCTCTGCTTTTCAAGAATGGAACAGTAGCAAGCAAAATATAGAGCAGCATAAGCATTAGTATGTTTCGTAAAATTAATTGATAAAAACTATTTTACAAATGAGGGAGAGGCATGATGGCGCTTCAACCACTATTTAAATTTGTGATTCATTTTTTTATTTGTTCTCGTATTTGCTGTTTAGGGCGGAAATATACCCATGTAATTGGTTTCTTTGACTATCCCCATCAAAATCAACTTGTTTTGTTTTGCTTTATCTTTTTACAGTTTTACAAACACGGCTTTACATTACAGTATATGCTATTATTTGTTTCCAGCTGTAACTATTGTGTATTAGAGTGTATCTGGCGTTATTTTAATCTATTCAATCATGAAGTCTCTGTGGTCCAACGGTTTTGACGCTTACCTTGACATTTGTATAAACAAACTATAGAACCTCACACATATATATATATATATATATATATATATATGTATATTTATATATATATATGTGTATATATATGTGTATGTGTATGTATTTATGTGTATGTGTATGTATTTATGTGTATGTGTATATATGTATGTGTATATATGTATATGTATGTATGTATATATATGTATGTATATATATGTATGTATATATATGTATGTATATATAGGTATAATGTATCAGTCTTGTTTCAATTTGAGTGTTGTTTCTTGTATGATTTTTCCCCCATCATTCGAAGTGCACAGATACTTTCCAGCATCTTCTGATGTTAAGCCTTTGATTCTCAATGTGGACACTTCATCTTCTGCAGTTATTTTAACACGTGAAGTATTCTTAATACGATGATAGATTCCGTTCCTGTCACGTTTTTTCCAAGTATGTTTCAAATGTTTACACCTGCATTTCAACGTTGCAATATCACCAATTTTTGCTTCTACAGTCTCTCCCAGTACTGTGAAAAAAGAAACAAACAATATTTTTTTTTGTATAAGATAGTCACGTTAATAATAAGGGAAATTGGTATCATAAAAATCATAAACATTATATAACAAAATAATACATTTATTTTATATTTATAATAATGGAACATTTCCTCCAAAAATTTCCAGGAAACCAAAAACAAATCATGCTCTTATTTTCAAGGCCATCAAATGTTTCAATTAAACATTAATTAAAAAGTGACATTAATAGATCACTAATATATTTTCTAACTTTTTATACTTTATAAATAAATATATACTTAATTTTACCTTTATAAAACCGGAAGTTCCACTGATTATTTACGATAAGACAGTATAGTACATACTTTTGAAATGCACGCCATCGTGTTTGGATTCAATAATTCGACATTAATTATGTCTTTATCATTCCTGATAATACGAGTATGTATTATACTATTTTATTTTTTAAAATCCGTAACTATGTCAGTATTTCAAAGTATAATAGTAACTAGATTTGGTGATTCGCCGTACTTTGACCCTTATACGTACGTACGTGCGTACGCGCACGTTAAGTAGCGCGAACGGAAAATTAAGGTACATGACATTCAGCCTTGACCTGAAGATTATGCTCACTTAATATGATTCAGAAATGACGAATGGTTAAGATGATATGGGCTCATCAACTTTTAGATGAAAGAAAGATGTGGGGTCAGAAAAAAAAAACAATTTTTTTGACCATAATGACGTCATCAAAATGTAAAAAGAAATCAAATATATGAAAGAGAATTGTCTCAGCT